TATTATGAAATATATTAATGTTTTATGTATTGCCTTGTTTGACACACAATTCCAAAAATTAATGTACTATAGCAAATACATACATTGTATTAAACACACTATGCATGTACTGACACATCACAAATTCAATAGTAATAGTCTGAAAAAAAATCAGAGTTCATACTGGATTCATCAAAATAATTATTAAATATTTTAGAAAGCTAAAAAGCAGTATTACTTAACCTAGTCTATACTACACCTGTTGTTGTGAATTGATTGAATTATTTTACATCAGACATTGTGTTGGCATCAGAAATAAAACCATACAGAATTGTGTCACTAACCCAGCTAAGAAAATGACTTATATGATGTAATACATACGTAGAACAGAGTCAGGGAAAATGAAAAAGTCCTCCATGCCGTGGAGACACCAATGGACACAACTGAGATGAAAGAAGACTCGAGTCCCTGAAGCAGGAGCAGAAATCACGAGGGCAGACCCCACTCTGGGAGGCTGCAGAAGAGGACTGCAAGTTCAAGCTCATCCTGGAAAACTTAATGAGATCAGGACTCAAAAAAAGAAAAGTAAGAAAAAAGGGCTGAGATCCATAGCTCAGTGTAAGCTCTCTGTGTTCAATCCTCAGAACCCCCCGTGGCCTCCCACATACACAGAGGGGAGGGGATAGGAGAGATGAGTTCCAAGAGGCAAGCGTAGGCCAGACTGTGCAGGGCTTTGCATGACATGTCAGGGATTTGGATCTTAACATAATGAGAAGCAGCTAAAATATTTTAAAAATTGGAACATGTGATTAGATTTGTTAAGATCCATCTGGCTATCATTTGGAGAACAGATAAGTGAAAACAGGGAGATTAATTAGAAAGTGACTAACAAATAATTTGGATTTGTTGATGTTGAGGCAAATGAAGAGAAATGGATAGATGTAAGTTATGCTTTAATTTAGAAGTAAAATTGACGCTGGCCAAGAATTCTAGAATATTAGTGACACTTTTGTTCTTGATTTTAATGTGATTTTTTTGTTGTTGTTATTTTTGTTTTGTTTTTGGTGCCAGAGATCAAACTCATGATCTTGTGCTTGCCAGGCAGGTGCATGTGCCACTGAGCTAAATCCCCATCCCTAATGGGAATTTCTTAAAGATATGATTACTGGCTAAAGTCTGGCAGTTCTTCAGAATGATAAGCCCTCTGCAATTTTCTATGTAAGAATATTTCCTATCTATGGCATTGCTTTGGATTTTGGTGTACCAAGGTTTTCTCTAGAAGCCCATACTTTCTGCAGCTACTGTGCTATGACTACTGCTCCCTTCACAGCTGCTTCTGAAGTGGGTTTTCCACATGGTCTCTTTACTTTGTCAGCTACACAGTAGTTCACCCTTCAATAAACTCCAGTGTTACTTCCACTTTTATTATTACATAACATTACTTTCCCAACATCACCAAGGACACATAGAGGAAAGGCTTAAATTTCCAACAAGGGACTTCGCAAATGAAATAGTATGTCACACAGTGGAATGTTACACAAGCATTGAAAATAATACTTCAAAAGACTTCAATGTGCAAGAAGTTTATGGTCCTTGATAATTACTCTTGTCTATTGTGTGTGTCTCTTGATTCCCCTCTTTTTTTGGTATTCTATAATTACTAATAACTGATGAAACTCCTGAGGATTATATACATTTCACATTAATTAGTTATTCCCTAGCACTATAAAGAATTGAGAAAACTCAACCAACGATCTACAATGACTGATACTAAGCCTCTGGCTTGGCCATCAGACTGTCATTACCCTGTCCCAAATGCCTGCTATCATGCATAATTGAAAGTTGGCATAGTTACTTATTGAAAGTAGCCATAGATAACTTGGCCTGATTTTTATTTTATTCCATCTGTTCTTTTAATTTTCAAGGCAACTGTTGAATGAAAGTCCTTACTCAATATTGTAGAAGTTTTACACATGTGATCTGGGTAAATGAAACAATTGTGTAACAGGCTGTTACCTGGTAAAATTCGACAAGATGAACCAAGAGAAAATTCTCAGGAAGTAAAGCCGCATGTTGACAGCCACTTTAAAGGGATGACAGGAAACTGCTATATTTATAATAACAGTATTTAACATTCTTACATTAGGTTTAATGTTAGGTATAATTGCCAAAAAAGCTCTTATAGAGAAATCCTAAAAATACATTTAACTTTGACCAACTTTTTCCATTGAGACTGTCTTCATTTTACTTTAGCAAAAATTAAGAAGCACCTGACATTAGATTTTTAAAAAAGGCAAAATCATTCTTTGCTGTAATTACCTGATATACCACATTTCTGTAACCACTAATGACGTGGTTTCTAAAAAGTAGACTATACCGTGCTTTTTCTATAATACTTTTCTTTTATACATAAAGCAACTCTATCATTTAAAATCTGAAAATACCTTTTGACAGAGTCTCTAATCACACTATGTAAACATAACCAAGAAATTTGGTGCAAAGTATCTACAGGTGATATAAAGTGCACATGGTATTTGAATGTCTGTACTTATGGGACTTACGCATGTTCAGATTTTAGGATTTGCAGGGAAGTCTTTGAACCAGCCTCCTGTGGATATCAAAGAATGACTGTACTTTCAAATGAGTTCTTTTGAACTTGGACTAAGCACAGAATATTATACTTTTTAGAAACCGCTTAGTTTAGTGAGTTAAGTTGGCCTGCTGGCTAGTTTTGGAGCCAAAATAAGAAGCAACAGATCCTCTATCTGTATCCATTTGATTACAGAATTGTCACCTAAAAATCCCCATCTAATATTTTGTCTTTCAAAATTGATGTAATCTTTTTTGACCAGTAATTACATGTCCTTGGTAGATATGACAACCCTGACCATTAACGACTCTCTGAATTATTTCATTAATTTTATTGCTGTATTTGGCAGTGTCATTCAAAACTGCCAAATTTTAAGTACACAAGAAGACATAAGGAGGGAATTTTAAAAAGCAAGTTGGGTCGTTTTATAATTATATACTCAGTTTCCCACAAGGAATTGAGATTCAAATTAGACTGATCAGTTGTGTTCAGAAACTAATACATTGTGAGCAATCCAAGAACCTCATGCTTTGTCACATCAAAATGAGTTTTTCATGGACTCCAATTTAACTCTCCTCTAAAAATAGACAATCACTTGATCTCAATTATGTCTCTATGAAAAATATATGTGGTATGGGTCAGGACACATGGGTTTTTCAGCATGCACGATAAGTAATAAAGCAGAACATTTTTTAATGTAAAGGTTATTGCATGCCTCCTACCTCTGTCAATCATTGGAATTATGATTCTCTTTGAATATTGTTTTTTCCCTGTTTGATGCTTTCTGACACCTTTCTCTATAAGTATGAAAAAAATGGCTATTGAATGCAAACTAGTAGATATGAGGAACTAGTAATCTTTGAAGCAAACTATAGTGACTATTTTTTCTTTACCTCTTGGCCTGTGAACCCACATTCATTTCCAAACAATACCAACTACATTACAAAATAAGATAGCATGTTAGTGGATATGTTACACAGAATGTATATGATGTTGCTGAGTCTCACTCCTACAGGTAAAATGCCACTAGTAAATCATCAATATGTATAAATACAGCATTTATTTAAAGACATGGCCTTGGAATGACTGTTATTCTAAAGAAAAAATGTTTAAGGATTTTTTTTTAAAAAGAGACCCATTTTAAATTAGTCATAATTTAATGCAATTCTCCCCAACTGCATGATAATCATATGACTGTCCTTTGATCTCCCCCCAGTTTAGTGGAGGCAAGTAATTATTATGTAGCTTATAACATGTGTAATTTGTCTTATAATTATAATAGATGCTCCCTGTCTCTATAAATACTGAAGAAGCAAATAACTGATCACTGTCAAGAAAGCTAAATACAGGCATCACTGCCTAATTTGTGATGATATAGTCTTCCTTCTGGCATTTTAATTACATGAGATTTGATGTACACAAGAATTACAAAACAAAAAATGGTATTGTTGCTATTTTATTTTAAAACAAAAGTAGATTTCTGGAAGACAGAAGAATTTTCAAATCATCATCTGAAGGGAAATTCTGGACCAGGCACTTGTATTCTTAATACTCAACAATAAAAATATTCATTAAAAAAGATTAAGTAGTTTTCCATTTAAACTATCAAAGGGCTTTAGTAATTATTTATTGAAACAAAATATTCTCTTAAAATGCCAAATTAATCACACAGAATTTTTTCTGTTAAAAGGTGCCCTGGGATGATAGCTGGTATCTCAAGGCCTACTGTCTACCTTACCATCCTGCTCTGGTGCCCAGAAGCCTGAGCTCTGTGGGCTGCTGCCCTGACTGACTCCCATTTTGGGATGACCAGTGATGGGGATAGGGGTAGAGAGTTTTGAGGCTCCTCTTTGGGGCAGACTGCCTTGGGCTGCCTGCTTTTCTCAGCTGCTATCCCCAGCCTCTCCAACAGGTCTCTCTGCTACTGGGACTGGTTACTGTGAGGGAATTAAAGGGTCCACTGGACTTTGCAAGTTCTTGAGGTTTTCTTATATCACACTCATACCTTTAAAATCATCCTTTTATTAAATTTTGAAGTTACTCTAATTTTATTATGCTATCTCTTTTTATGTGACATCCTATTACAGTTAGTTCTTATTTGTTCCTATTTATAAAACAGGTGAATATTTCTCCAAACACTTGGACATGATGGACCAAGGACACTATGACATAAAAATATAGTGCTTAGTAAGTGGCTTAATCTGTTGTATGACCATGGAAGGTGTTGAACTAGAAATGTCTGACTACCATTTAAGTAAATTTAGAAAGATTTGTGACATATCAAAATATTAGGTCTATTTAACTGAAGTAAATATTTGCAGTTATTTTTATGAGTACTGAATTGTTTATATAAAACACAGAACTTTATGACATTTGAAAATATGTTCAAGAGTACAGCTGATCTTTACAGTGCACTAAAAGAGAGGTGTACCTTTTCACCAGCTTCTCCTTTGATGCCTTCAAAACCTTGATCTCCCTGTAGAAGAGAAACATGACACAGTAAAAGAAACGATACTTATAATACATGTAATATTTACAGTAATACAGCTTCCAGCAATGAAAAAGATCACTGATTTTAAATAATTATCCCTACCTTGTAAACACAAATATTAATACAACATTTAAGTATTCTTAAATACCGAAGGAATAATTTTCTAGTAGCTTCACTATTTGCAAGGCAATTTAGTAATCACCAGTCTGATTTTTCCCTTGCATAAAATAAGTATGCCAGTAGTACCTTTCTCACTGATTGGAGAAGTAAAGGTGTCATTCTAGTAACCAGCATGAACTGTTAGCTATTCCTGTTACTATTATTACTTATTTCAGTAGGGCCAGAGTTCTTAGAAACTGGACCACCATGCTCTATCACTCCAGTTATATTTGTATGGTGAATCGATTCATGTTTGAACACGGAGCTGTGCTCCTGATCCAACACCAGCACCAATGTGCCCACCACCATTCTGCTCCTGCCTCTCAGTCATAGAAAGGACTGGTGGTCTTCGGGCTATTGACTCCCAATCGCCAAATTTATCCTCAAAGGCTTACATACCTTTTCTTCAGTAAATCCTCTGTGATCTGATAAGCTCATTTCCCACTTAATTTGGCATAGTATTCATAGTACTGATTTCCTTTCATGTACTGACCGCCTCTTCAGCATCTGCCATTCACGGTGACAGAATGAATGCTGAGGGCAGTTTCCGTTTCCTTCAGTCTCAGAGGCCTTGACCTAAGAAGCGCTTATGGAGAAGTCCCACAGATCAGAGATAAGAGATGGGAGATTCTTATCTCAAGTGTTTTTTATTTTTGCAAGCTCCACAGAGGATACTGGTATAGTCAAAATACGTATCAATTATATGAAAAGGAATGCCAGCTTTTTATTCTATCTACATATACATAGTTTGTGCATGTATTTGTATATATAATCAAATACAGGTTAAGCTATTATGTATGGGTACATTCAGGTTTGGGTGTTACATGCATGCATGAGCCATAATATTTTGACTTCATTTACACGGAAAGAAAATAGGCTAATTTGTAGGTATATCCACCATGATCTGTCCTTTTTTTCCTACTGTTTGTCCTGAAATATGTACTTGGACTCAATCTGTTAACTCAAGCTGACACTGGAGCTGCCAGGCCAGGCTGTGACACCAGCCGCATGTCAGTGGGATGCAGCCACCACAAACAGCTGCTGGAAAGTCCCAAGCCATCTCCCAGGAGATCAATCTGCACATCCCTGGCTTACAACTTGCCTCGCAGATGCGGCACATGCTGTGTCTGTGGGTTTTGTTTAGAACTGCAGTGAAGAAATTCAAAAGCTTGCCACCATATTGCTGCCAGTTCAACCTCTTCTCTTTTGAGGGCAGATAAAAGATTCTTTTCTTAAAGCTCTGACTATAAGTGCATAAAGTTTTTAAAATGATACTTTTAGCTACAGAGAAAACCCTAAGTTCTTAATGTAACTTCTAACACCTTATGTTTAAAACCTAAAAAGTTTGTCTAGCAACATTATACTTGGCTTTGGCAGGCATCTAATGTTGCACCAGTAATGCATTCCTTTGTGGTGGGATTATTTTGGCTGTGTTATGGAAGGAGGCCCCACCTGACCTGACCCCCTGACCCTCCAGAAAATGGGAGTGTGCTAGTCCCTGAGCTTCCAGGAATGCTGGTCATACACAGTCACAGCGGTATGTGAGTGAAAGCTGTCTTTGAAGAGCAAAATAAGACAAAAGTTCATCTTGATAAAAAGATGCTAAACTGATCTATAGAAGCCTTGCCAATGAAATTTCTTTATTTATCAAGAGTGTGCCATTCTGAAAGACATATTTGGAAGATATTTGGCATCCATAACATCTGTATAATAGTTAATATTATGCCATTGTAATGATTACTTTTAATGCATTCAGAGCTATTAAAAAGAAGAATAAATGGGAAGGTGTCAGGTCTAGCCCAAGGCAATAAAAACTGTTCTACTCTACATTTTAGACTGTGGCTGTAAGCAGTGAAAACATTTCTGGAGTAGCTATCTCAACTTCCAGGGCACTATCATTGGCTTATTTGGAACCTGATGCTGAAGTCCTCTGATAAAATTCTTCCTTAGGTGCTCTCTTGAGAAAGAATTGTTTTCTTGGGTCTTCTTTGGAAAGATTCGTCATCACTTTCCAAAAATCTGGCGGAATTAAGTTGTGTCAAATATATTTTTTGAATCTCTACTATGTTATATACAATTTCCACTGCTATGATGTTAAAATTCTTAGTTCATATGCAACACACAAAAGCTCTTTACCTTTTGACCAGGTAAGCCTGGAGCCCCAGGTAAGCCATTTTCACCCTAAAAGAAACACACAGTATCAACTGTATTAAGTTACAAAGAGAAATGAACAGGTACATTTATTCATGTGTGTGTGGTCTTCAATCACCCTAATGTTGTAGGCATAGCCCTACACTGAATACCCACAATGTAAAGGGGGCTTACATCTATGTTTTATGTCACAACTGCAGGACTACCAGCTCAGTTTTAAAACACAGATACAGGCAGTGAGAGGTTAACGAACATATCCAAAGTCACCCAACTTAGCATTTCCTGAGAATTGAACTGAGGTCCCATGGTCTTCACAGCATACATTTTTGGCATGATATTTAGTAATACTTATTTCATTCAAATGTCTGGGTGAAATCTAAAGTCTGACATGGCACTTTGTATGGGGTTGTTCTCCTATCAGGTAAACACTATTACTGTTGCCGTATTACAGATGATGACACAGGAACCAGGTGGTAACCAGAATCCTAACACATTTCAGCTCTGTGCACCTAGCTGACTGCCTATTTTGTCTCTGGAAAAAGATCTATTTCCGGCTTGTCAGTGTCCTTTTGCCTAAAATTGGACATATATATATATATATATATATATATATATATATATAACACACATACACTTATCACATACACAAACACATTTACTTTCTTATCCATATCTATGGATTGTCCTTAGAACAAATTTGAAGTCATATACAATGTCAATTTATGTGAAAACTTTACTTGGAAGAATCTTTAGTTCTTTTTATTTATCTGATAGGCATCAGGTGGCTTATTTAGAGGATAAAAAGGTAAAAACCTTGGTAAAATGGTTTCAGTAGACGCCTATCCGTTTCCATCACTGGAATTCATGGGTCATGTCTTTGACAAGTCTAGTTTGTAAACAGCACACCAGCTAGAAAAACATATTCCCAGATGGATGTGCATATTCTGAAAGGAGTCTTAGGGATTTAACTGTTTACAAGAATTACTCTGGATCTTGGGTTTGGAAGTCTAGGTAGCACAAAACAAACTAGGAATTCTTTGACCTACTCAATATCCCCCAAATATTTATGATTTAGAAAATAACAGCTTTTAAGCATTTTATAGAACACAGATATCATTTCTAAAAATTACCTACACAAAATCAAATATATGAAGAAAAAAATCACAATTTCAAACTTTAAAATACCAATGATATAGTCTTTTTAAATCTAAACAGACTTCTTTGATTAATACATCTTTGAAAATGGTGTATTATAAGGGCCCTGATATATAAATACATTGTTTTCAAGAATAAGGTTAAATTACCAAAGTATTCTACAGTATAACTGCTATCACAACAGAACTAAACTTTGTTGCTAAGTGTAATTATGCAGTGAAGCATCAATAAAACATATTTACCTAATAAACATTTCTATCACTTAAAAATTCTTACAGTTCAAGATCTTAGACTTCACTCAAGTCTATTAGAAACTTCATTTGATAAGTTGATCCTAAAAGCACACAAAGTATCTAACACTGGGGAATATTCTATAGAAAGGTAGTTTCTTGTTGCTCATCACAGAAGTATGGTCATTTGTCCAAAGGATCAGATTATTTTCATCATTGATCACTGATCTAATACAATGTTTTATACTATATGACAAGTTACACATTACAAGATATGGCATATGATCCAATAAAATACACTGATGTAGTGTTTACACTGCCAAAGATACTGTTTAGAGGGAAAAATCTAAAGTAAGGACAAACACCTCGTCTTTTGCTTTGCTCATTGCCCTCTCTGTGTACCTTGTGCTCCTAGAGTGGTGCTCAGAATCCTCCCTCTGCCTCATGGAAGGTCAGGGTCACACCCAGATGGACTGTTAATTGGGACCAACAGTCTTCAAAGTTATGATGTAGAGGATGTGTCTTCATTTGACACAGGTGCTACGATCATTTTAGGTAAATTTTATATTTTCCAACAACCAGAGTTTATTGGCCTCTTCCCTCTTGTGATTTATTTTGTAAGCATAACTCTGTACTCCAAAATGACCTAATACATGCCACTGGTTATCTCATGAGAAACAAGTGGGTTTCCCATCATGTACCAATGTGGAGAAGTCTGGAAATATTGATAGCACTTTTGAAAAACAAGCTGCAAACTCTGCTATTCAAAGTTCTTGCTGCTATTTTTGAAGTTACCATAGATGCTCTATTCAAAAACCTAAAATCATTTTTAATAATTTGTCATTATTTTAGTCCTTGTAAGATAAATGAGCATATTTATTGTCGTTATCTGAAAAAGAAAAGATTAATTAGCATAAAACCAAAAAGATATAGTTATAAATAGTTAAATGTTCTTAACAGATTAATGGATGATGATGTTTTGGTAAAAACTTTAACACCCAATTTATGTCGCAGTATGAACTAACTTCTGTTTATGCTGCCTCTGAGGCACAGGCTCAAGGACTTCTGTGTGGTAGGTCAAATTTAATTCTACCTATAAAATAATTACCTCCCTAATATGATTCAGGGGTAACAGATTATTTGCCTTTTCTGAATGCTTGCCATCTCTTCTTCCTCCCTCCCAGTTAGCTCAAGGAAGGCAAAAGATGATTTCATTTAGTTTCCAATATTCAAATTCATTATAGAAAACTACAGTTAGTGGTTCCCAGCACAACCATAATTTTCAAAACTTGCCTGTGAAGTACACTCTCTATTGCAGGTCGAACAATCATAGGACCCATGTTCCTTCACAACTACAAATTCAAATGACAGACGAGGTCATGAGAAAGTCTAGGTAATGGAAAATGAGACAAAACTCAACCATTGCTGTGATCATATTGTTACTTATGTCATTACTGTAATACATAGCCCATCTTCAAATTCCAGGAACAATCAAAAAGCACCCTTCATAGAATCAAAATAACCATAACTTCTTTGAGATTTTGGAGAAAAAAAAAACTAACATGAAGTTTAGATGTAGCTGGTGGCTTTCTGGAAACCTAATAAAAAGATTTCATTTTATCTTCCTTTTTATCAGTATACTTTTCCCAGTGGTCAGTGTTGCCAAGCGTAAAATATAAATTATTAGTTTCCTTATTTCTTTGACATTGGAGTCAATATATTTCTTATTACAGGATATACTGTCTAAAAGGAATTGGATTGAGAGTTGTATTCTCGAGGGCTACAGGTAGAAAACCTATAATACAAAGCAAAGAAATGTAGAGGAATCAGGTAAATGAAAATCTTACAAATAATGAAATTTGACTGAGAAAGTATGAAGTTATATGCTACATGGTAGTGTTTATCTTCAAAAAAAGTTAAGCATTCACCCTTTGATTTAAAAGTGTAAGATTTTATAAAGTCATATCTATAGCAAAATGTAAAATTTGACCTATAATTTCACTTAGGACATATTTCCTGAGAATATGTGTGACTGTAGTGTACACTTGGAAGCATATCACTATTTCCATGACCAATTAACTGATATTGATTAAAATAAAATTAAATGTTTAATAGAACTACAAGAAATATCTCAAATAAAATACCAGAATTCTAACATGAAAACCAATTAAACAGACAGTAGAAAGTAAATTCCATTTTGATTTTGTGTATGACTAATGCCATATCTACATTTATGACCATGTTCCTGCTTTATGCAGCCATAATTTTCAGAAATTGAAGTTTTATAAGGTTCTTAAATTTTGAGTAGTCTATTAAACATTTCATGAAGTACAAAACATTCAATTTTTTGAGATATCTTATCCAAAATGTGTTCTTTTATTTCAGAAAAATTTTTTCCTTCTATATTTTGAAGCCTCATTCCATGAAATGAATTGTTAGATAAAATATATACATGTTGGATATGGTTGAAAAGCTTAAGCATTTTGAATTTATATTTATTGGATGTTTAATGTAGCTAGCAAATGAGACTTATTATCACATAAATACTCAGGATGAGATCAATTTAAAACCTTCTTAATCATAAAGTAAACAAGGCCCTATTATTATTTTTTCTTATGAGATATTTCAAGAAGAGAAAGCAAGTCACCGAGGGTAAAGTACTGTTGGTACATGTCTTAATCACAGTAATTGAGACTGGATAATAAACACAGCTGAGTGTAAGAGTTACTCTGTCAAAGTCTATCCTCCTGAAGGTATACATATGTGAGCATCCTTACACATATGCAGGTTCACATGCCTATAAAATAACCATAATGGGCATTCTTACATATAAGGACAACTATAAACTAATACAGTATATTCACCACTGCAATCCAAGAATTCAAAACAGAACTAACTCTATGAAAAGCTTCTTTAACTCAAGCATTTCTGCTGTTTAATTAGCCCCAAGGAGAGCAAAGGAAAATAATGCCAAGTATGCTTACTGAATCAAACTTTCTGGACCTAAATTAACCTTCCATGAATTTCTGATCACTGGTTTCATTTTTGCTGTCTGCAGTTGCACAGTATAAAATCTTATAGGTCTTTTATGTGATATTCTTTTGTATCATTATGAAGCCTTCTACTCAATAAACTTACTTTTTTAATAAGAACTTGAGTCTCTCAATATTGTGACCCCTGGTCTCCTGGTTTATACTGTAAGTTAATTTGTCTTTTAAAATGTGGCACTCACAATTTACTGACTCAGAAATGTTCTTACATAGAAAAGAAAGCAGCAGGACCAACACACACACACACACACACACACACACCTATTAATAGTTTTCTTTGTTAAAGCAAAATTGCTTGTTTATACTGGGCTTGTCAATTACAACCACTAAGCTATTCCTTTCAAAGTTGCTCTTGTTTCCTTTTCTTTTATTAAATAGTTCAGGCATAAAGTATATGAAATGATTTTCCGTGTGCTGTTGCTCAAGCTTAAGAAACAAAACACAGCTAATAAATTCATTTTTCTGCAATTCTATTCCTTCATCTCCTTCTCTGTTACAAACTACTGAATCTAACTGTATAGATTGTATCATTTTTTAAAGAAAGCTAGCCTTTTTAATAAATGGTGCTAGGAAAACTGGCTTTCCCAGACTGAAG